GCTGAACCAATCTTAGGGATGGCTGTCTTCAAAGAGATCCCCTGGCAAAGCAGCTTGGTAATGCCTGTTTTGCATGGGAATTCTGCTGGCCTTCACACATGTTCTGAAAGCAGATGAACATGGAGGACACAAAACCCCAATACTGTGGATGAGAGGTGAGAACCACTTCTTAAACAACTTTTTCTTTTGTTTTCTCAATTTGGTCTGCTGTATCCCTCAATGAATAGATCTCATCAATCAATGTGTCTTCTCCCTAACCATACTTTGGCCATGCAGGACATCTTCAAGCAATAATTATTTTCATTTGCATTTAATAAAAATATTCCCGTATAACAGCTGCTACTTGCACATGGTTAAAGAAAGGGGGCAGATCACAGTCAAATGAAAGGGATTACTCTCCATTACTGAGTAATGCAAGAATACTACCAGCAAGTCTGTTGCTTCCCTCTCACACCCCATTATGACTTTTTCCTGGAACCTGAACCCAAATATTAAATTTACTTCACATGCCTTGAGAGTCACAGAGCCTTAGTGATGGAGCACGACTTGGTCATGGCTTACAAAATAAATACGCATTTTGCATAACATACACACAATAGCAAGCCTGTAGCGTCTCTACCAAAGTACTTCCAACTTTTAGAGGCAGCCTCGAAAGGAGAAACTGGGGAAAAGAGAGGTCAACGCAAAGTGGAGCTGTCAGGTGTCAGTGATTTTTATCCACAGTGACTGGAAAAGAATGTCAGGAAGAGGGAATATTAAGACCTATTTTTGTATTCAGATTGCGCTTGACAAATGACAGTTTTTCATGGAAATCTTCATGGAGAGGAATTTGTTTGCAGGTTGCATTATCCAGAGATAAGGCTCCAACAGAAGGTGAAATGGGAGAGTGTCTGAAAGGACAAACTAAGGAGGGATTATACATACACTGTCAGCAGAGAGGCTACAGAAATCAAGAGCAGCAAGATTCTAGGGAAAAATACCATTGATTTTGTTAAAATTAGTTAAATACTACAGAAGCACTACAGATTAGCTTTGTCTAATGAGCTCCTTTTTCAGTATATGTAAGTACTACATCTATTTAGGAAAATGATAAAAAACAAAACAAGGTTCTCTCACTGAGAAATGATGACTGCTTCAAGCATACTGCTGTGAGAGACTTCTCATGCTATCAAGTATTTTTAGCCAAAATAAAATATCAAATTCACTCATTACTTGCAAAATAGCATGCAAGTTACTAAAAAGAGACAGATACATAATTAAAGATGTTCAAGTTTTTTAGCTATCTGAAAAGCTACCCAAGCAGATCACATGTTTCAAGTTACAAATTTTCCTTCTCTAATTTCTCTATCACATTCTTATTTAGATTTCAAGTGCCTTTGAGCTAAAATGGTGTCCTTTATTTTATGCAATGCTTTTACAAAGACTTTATAATTACTGGTAACAGTAACAACATAAGTGCTGCTTTGATGACAGTCTTCTGAAAAATCAACTTGAAAACTCTGAATCTCACTATCTTTTGGAAAAGAAGGTTAAAACTAAGCAGAAAATAGGAATAATTTCTCAAGGTATATCACATGTTAACACTAAATTATTTTTTTACTTCAGAAAAATAGTTATTTTTACCACATGTGCCAACTGAAATCAAGCCAGGGAAGAAATACAACATAAACTTCAAATATAAATATATCATCCCATCCATAGGGTTTCATCATATAAAATAAAATCCTGCTGTGTATACTTCTGAGAAGTGGTTTTGTCAATGTTAAAGCTGTCTGCTAGCCACAGACTCTGTATGTGTCCTGAGTTCCCACAATTTATGATAGCAAAACACAGAATATTATCCAACTGATATAATTTCATAAAGAATGCCATTACCCTAAACATAACAAGAGGGAGGAAAAGGTCAGTAGAAACATAACCAGTCTGACAACAAAAAATACATGCTTGGTCTTTGGGATTTCCATTCCTAATTTTAACTCGGAAAAAAAGTAATTCTACTAGTTAACAGTACCAACGAGACCAATATTCTAACAAATAATCAAAATATACAGGATTAATAATTATTACTATTAGAATGATTGTATGGTTATAATTTAAAGTGTGATGTAAACAAATATCTGAGCTTTCTTAACAGCACCTACACTGTGGTTGACATAAACACAAGACAGTTTTTCCCCCTATTAGCTAACAGTTAACACCACTGTTAAAAAAAAAACACATTAGCTTCTTCTTCTTACTACACAGTAAAATGGAGCATGACCAGGGAAATTTATAAAATTTCTTGAACAGATCCCAACATTTTCCCAAATTAGGTGAATGATCTTATTTCTCTGCTCCAAAAGCTTTGTGTAGCCCTTCAAGACTCTCATTTTATTTACCTAACAGATTAAAAAAGTAAGTACATAATTTTATGTGCCTATTGCAAGTCAGGAGAGTTATTTCTCCTCCAAGCTGGCTGTTGCTGTATGGAACCTCCTGCATCTTGATCATTGCTCCAAATGTGGGATTTTTACTTTGGAAAATCTATCAATTGTTAAAAGCTGCCACCTACTGGTCAATAAAAAGTATTTTACACCTTCAAAGTAACAAATTACATCAATGCAGCAAACGGTACTGATACTTCACAAAAAATGCTCCCCCACCTTAGAAAAAAACTGCCAGCAAAACCCGAGAACAAATGGTCATAAGAAATAGTTTCAAAACCAAGGCTCATTTTAATCATCTGTTCTCATCTCCAGGGAACAAGAAGGCTGTAACTGCACAAACCTGCCAATAAAATCATCCTTTTTGCCAGCATCCTTGTCCCACACAGTAATATCAATAATTCCACCTCGTTCTTCATAGAGATGAAAGTCAAACTGCTCCCTCCACTGAGGATTCAAAGTTTTTGGCACAATCTGAAAGGAGTGAAAAAGGAAAGTCATATTGCATTGTGCAGGCATATACTTTCTAGAATTGTGAATTTGGTGTTTAGAGCCTGTTCAGAAAGTTTTTTCTGCTTGCAGTGTAAGTATCTTAAGCAGCGAGAATTACAAAATAGTAATTAGAAAAGTGTACTGGCCAGTTCTCTCATGCCTCTCTGACACAACAGCAACCTCCAGAATCCTGGAATCTGTCACCTTCAAAAGCCTCCCAAACAAAGGATTTACCATGGCAATGGGTCCATTTTTCTGTAGAATAATTATGCTCAATCTTAAGTGACAGTTAGCCGCAAAGTTATGTGTCTGAGCATAAAGGAAAACAAAGCACCAGCGAGGACAACTAGATAGTGACTGTAGGTATTTAAAAAGAAAAAAATTTATCATGTCCTCCTTCCCCAGCTGCAGTAAGCTGAGAAAAAGATGGTATCATGGTTTACTTTTTATGTAATAATACTCTTCTCCCCCGCCCCAAAACTGCTTTTCCTTTGCAGTAAAAAGAAAGCGAAAACTACTTTCAGATGAAAGTAACTTTCTCCACCATTTTCAGTCCAGTTACTTCTAACAAAAGTGCCTTCAATGGATTTCAATCCGTGTACTTCTGACCATGCTCTGCAGAAGAGAAAGCTTGCAGATTTTTCTACAAAAATGCAAAAAGCAGCATTCACAGTAGTCACATATGTCTTGAGCAAGAATGGAACTGTCTAGTACCTTCCCTACAAAGCAATCACTACTTCCTACATCCGCCAGTTCTGCTGGTTTGAAAAACAAATGGAAAAATCAGAGAGGATTTGAATGCAGAAACGCTAGGAAAATGCTTAAGTCACAAAATCATGAAATTTGATTTCTCCTAATTTCAGGTTAAGAGGCCCCAAGGCAGGCTCAGAGGTCTGCAAACATCGCACCTAGATGTTCTTGGCCTCTTCCTTGCTTTTTCTTTCATCTGGCTGTGAAAAACACATGGGCTGCCATGACCATTGAGAAAGGAAGGTCATGTCCATCATCACCAGTCCCAGCATCTTTCGTAAGCAGCCATTTTCAAACCAATAGGGATCAGGGAGATAAAAAATAATGGCAATAAAGCCAAGCAAGTCTCCACAATAGCCTTCTGACAGATCAATCCTATCTACTTGTTAAGCTCATACACACACACAAATTTAATGAAACTTTCTGTAATAACACAATGAAGAAAGCGAGAATATAAGCATGATGTGGTTTGAGGATAAGACCTGTATCAGCAAATAAACCCAAGAAAATTAGGTGTGCCTCCCCATCACCTTCCATTTTTCAGCACTACGTTTTTTCCCCATCTACAATTATTTTTTTTAAATAACAAAGTAAAAAGAATCATCTAAACAAAACTCCAGCTATTCTGACAGCTAAGAGTAACTCTCCATTACTACTTAAATCATCATGCCAGCCAAAAAAAAAACCTGCAACAGGAACAAAACATTTCAAACACAGCCAACATGTATTTTATGCCACAGCTGAAATTACCTTGCTCTTGTACTTCTGATGCCCCAACCGGAACTTCACATAAGGATCACTTCGTCCATTTGCATCCATCGCCTTAAGTTCACGGCCTTCTATTAAGGTAACACTAACTATCCCTCTCCAAAGCTGAGATTTTCTGTGCAGGTCTGAGAGACGTAAGCTCTGAGTCTGAAACAAAAAGAGAGATTCAGTTAAAAACGTTCCCAAAATTTTCCCTGCATTTTAATGTGCAATTTCATGTAACCATGAATGTAAAACAACCATCTTAAGCTATTTTGAAGTTATTTGACAGTACATATGTAAACTATATTAAAAATAAATACTTGAAAAGAAACAAAACAGTGACAAATATGCAGGTAATGTCATATGCTGCTTTTGCAGAAGCAAACAGAATAAATCCTACTTAAGGAAATGTTTGGGGGAAAACAGTGTTTTTTCCTGCTTCACTTCTCCCTATGCTGATACAACTAAGATTAAAAACAAATGTTATAAAGTCTCATCTATTAGTATCATATTATTGAATGAACTTGAACAAACATTGAAATAAACACAAAAAATAGAATATGAAACTTCCATTAAAATAACACAAACCCATCACGAGAAGCGTGGATGAAGGAAAAGTAAGTCAACAAACTGCTGTGCACATGACAACTATCTCAGCCTCTAAAATGCTATGGTATTCTCAGAAACGGCAAGGAAAACCAAACTAAAGATCAGCACGTTGGCTCAAGAGTTTCGAAACAAGATGTTGCAGAGCTGCTAGCTGGAATTGTTGACTTTGCTTGGGGGTTCAAAGGGAATGACCCAAAGACCACATAGCCACAGCATTCATCAGTGAACCCGGCTGGGCCAGGAGCTGGATTTACAAACTGGAGTAATTTAAGATGAGCTCCACCTGGCTCTGAGCTACCAAGGTAACAAGGCATCAGAATCAGGGAACCCCCTTCTCAGGCAAACGCATCTCAGGTGCACCTGAGGAGCAAGGCTGCCAAAGGCTCTCCTTGTATCCTGAAATCTTAGTTGTTCAAAGTTACCTTACCTATAATCAGAACACTAAGGAGTAAAACAATACTTAAACCCACAAATTATTCTTTCTGGGAATCAAAAAAGGCAAGCCTGCATGTATACTCAGTTGTAAATACATCACATATATACATTATCTTTATTATGCAATATACTTTGAGCAACAAAGGCTTTATGGGCTCAGCAACCCCAACACATGAAGGATTGCACAGCTGGCTTCATCACTGGCATACCTCCGGTATCTCTGTTAGAGGTTTTCAGTGCAAATTTGGTTTGAGGCTAAACACAGCTAGATGGTTGTATCTATGCAAGTGCCCAGGGCAGGAACTTTGTTTTATGTTACCCAGGGAAGATTACAGAAAGTACACTGGAGTAAAATCACTGGTCATGAGACTCCTGAGGGATGTTATACACAAGGACTGCGGCCACTAGGGTTGGAGCGAATCTGAGTAACATACTTTTAGCAATATTCCATATATTATATTGGTATGTATTTGTGTTTTCTAATGCCTATTCATTCCAAGCAGGATGTTTACTCCTGAAATACTTCACTATATTTATTAAAGAGTTCTCCTCCTGAAGTGAAGGATTTCACTGAAGAGAAACGTCTCACAAACTTACTGTTTCTCCAAAGGCAGACAAGGAACTGTGGAATAACCTTTAACCTAACCTGTGACACCAGAAGCAGCAAGACACCAGAAAGTGTAAACTCTGCAAGAACTAGGGCACAAGTGGGAAACCCAGTTGCCAGAACAGATTTAATTTACAACACAGGAACAGTGTTAAGCTGCTTTTTTTTTTTTTCCTCAGCACAAATACCTCTTCATTGGGGATACACAGTCAACATCACCAAAGACTTGTGAAGAAGCAGTGGATTATTTTTTTTTTCAGGTTCCAGTTTTTTGAAGGTTTAGAGTAAAAGAAACACAGAATAACCAAAAAATAACCAAAACCAGCTCTGCCCTGAAAATAAGGTGATGATACAGAACTGTTCAAGACCAGGCTGGATGGGGCTTTGGGCAATGTGGTCTTGTGGACGGTGTCATGGCAGGGGGTTATAACTGGATGAGCTTTAAGATCTCTTCCAAACCAAACCATTCCGGGATTTTATGATATAGAAAGGAGACAAGGTACTTTCTGGAAGGCATTTCACATGTGGACAGAAGCAGTGGTTAGTTGAGACTGATTCTAACAAAGAATGCACAGTCGCTGCGTTTTGGGATTTTTTTTTTTTTTAGAGTTGTGTGGGGATCCAAATGATTTCCAGGATACTATCATGAAAATGAGTATGAGTTTGCATTTACAATTCTTGTAAAGTAAAGCTAATGCACAACTGCTTAGCGCTCTACTTCACTAATCACAAATGAGACAGTAAATCATCTAGAGAGTATACTTCATCTAAATTCTGTTTTTTCAATGGCTCTTAAAATAATTTGCTGCATTAGAGCAACTGCCACCATATAAAATATGCTGATTTTTTATGGCCAGTAGGGAGTTTCATCAATGAGGGTAATTTACATATGAGGTGGCAAAGCAAGAACTGAACAACCACACGTAGAGTGTAATACAACAGATGGGTTAGACAGGAGTTTTAGAAGAGTCAGACAGAAACCCTAAGCACAGTGTTTCATGTGTTGCTGAAAAAAACCTTTCTGGGTCAGAGCCAGATCAACAACACGCAATGTGCCTTGCAGAGCCCAGGGGCACATCAACTGACTACAGAGCCTACAACTTAATCTGCTGGAAGAACAACAGCCGGATGCTAAAAGTAAAGTGGCGTGGGCTAGTTTTTCCCAGGGTTGGGAGTTTGGACCACAGCAATGCTCTTTTCTCCCTGTCTTTATTGGTAACACCCAGATCCATGGAACAGCAAAAGTAAAACACACTGAAAGGTACAGCTACCTGGAGCTAAAGCTATTGAGATTGTCTGGACATGAAAGGCATGGGATATGTGGCCTTCTCTAGCAAGAAAAATTTCCAGCTGGCATTTTTCTTGTTTCTAAGTGAGACTGAGCAGCATCTGAACGGACATCTGAAACATGCTTTCCTTCCAGTTGAAGTAATCCTTGTCCTCAGAAATTACAGACACTGACATCGTCTCTAATCTAGTAGGAAATGAATAAATACGAATGTTTAGATTTCAAGTCAAATTTGACAAAAACCTAATAGATTTTAAAAATGGCAAAATAAGACTGATTTCACATGTTACAGCTCTTCCCTTATGAACTTAATTCCACGGTATGAGAGAGCTATGTCACTTGTCTTTTTTAAGCATCTGAGCAACCAAAACGGGAGGGGTGGAAGGGACTTGCAGCCTCCATACTGTGAAGCTTTCTCTTTTTTCCCACAAGTAAATTAAAATTAGACTTCTGAAAAAGTCTTTCATGTTAAAGGATACTCAAACCTGCCTGTGAAAGAAAAACTTTTCATATCCATACACTGCTTTAATGCTTTTACTATAAGCAGCATTCAAAATCAACATTTTCTTACATGATAAAATTAGCTTTTGTTTGTGTTTCACCTATTCTGTCTAAATGTGGAGTAGTGAGACAGATAGGAATGCCAACAGCAGAAAGTCTTCTAACACAGAACTGTATCCTCTATTAGACATGATAAATATAGTGAGCCAAGTACAATGTCAGAGCTGAAAGATGATCTTACAATATGGCTTAATGTTCTCTATTTGGTCATGTATTGCTGGGTAACAGTGCTGGGTGGAAACCAAGTAGGCTTAGCCAGAATCTAGGCATTGTTCCCAGGTTCATCCAGACCATGTTCTTGATGAGTGTATTAATTGCCACAACATTTACTGTTGCTCTTTTCAAAAGAAGAGAGCCTTTAGTAAGTACTTTTAAAAACTGCATACATATTTATCTTTGTATCTAACTGACCTTTGGAACTCCTGCCCTTAACAAGAAACCCACAGCCTTCAAGCCCTGCAAAGCACCACCTCTCTCAGTGGTTGTGCCCATGAGAACAGGCCCTGCTTTTACAAAACTTCCTCCTTGTTAAACACAGCACTAGGGCACACTCCTCCTCCTCTGCATCCTTGAACACAAAACTTATTGTTCAACAATAGTTGAATAATAGACCCAGTTTCGTGGGTGCTTACATGGCTCAGACAAGTATTTAAAATAAGGATTGAGAATGTCAACAGATGCAGCTGTTAGCTTGTCCATATGATGAAAATAAATCAAGAGAGAGTCGTATGTATTCACCATGCTTTTCCTCTATTAGAAATTACACAAAATATGACACCTTGCAGAATTCATCAACATGTAGACAGTGAGCTACAAAAAAAGCCTTCAATGGGATCACAATTTAATGTTTGCTTGTTGTGACTAAGCAAGTTTTGCAAATTAACTACTACTGATAATTAATGCAATATGAAAGAACATTTACCTTTACTTTCTATCAACTATATTTTACATTTCAGGGTATTTTAATTCTAGGTGAAGCTAATCTGTATTTCTGTAGTTGAGAAATATATCCTATTCTCTGTGTTTTAATGTGACTGCCATGTTGAATCTGATTTAGGATGTTTACTCTAACAACTCAATATTGTCTTTAGTAGTAGTGTAGTGTGGTGACACTACAGTATTTGTCATAAAAGGTTATACTTCTGCTGTATTTCACTTATTTCAGTGGTTTGCTTGTGTATTCTGCTTAAGGACGCTTGCCAAAGCCAGCTCAGGTGTAATATGATGAAGGTTGTGACTCTCTTAAGCACCCACTACGATTTGCATTTTCTAGAAAAGGGTGGAAATATGTACACAAGACAAGGGTGTGCCAGCAGGAGCTGTCAGAGAGGTTGTGTCAGTATCATTCTAACATTCTCCCTTGTCTTCCTCCCATCAACTCCTCTTTGAAACTGTGGTTGTGATAGTGAAAGTCAATGGGTCTTCTGATGCCCCTGTTATTGCCCAGATGACCACTGTCACCAAGACTTGATGAAAACTCACTGTGCTTTCAGAATTCATAGAATCATAGAATCCCAGACTGGTTTGGGTTGGAAGGGACCTTAAAGCTCATCCAGTTCCAATCCCCTGCCGTGGGTAGGAACACCTTCCACTAGACCAGGTTGCTCCAAGCCCCCTCCAACCTGGCCTTGAACACTGCCAGGGATGGGGCAGCCACAGCTTCTCTGGGCAA